TTATCATTCAGCATGTTGGAGTGTCTTTTCTTATGTTACAAAGTCTATCTAATTCTTAAGAATCATCATCGACATGAAAAATAAGAAAAGATACTCCAACATGCTAAATGATAATAAATTTGCAGCATGCTTTTGCAAGAAATATACTTCGCCAAGGCCTATTAATGAGAACATGATCGAAACAGGAAGAAACTTGATAGTCATATTTTCACATTTAAACTCAGAAACAACCATACAAGATCCACAATACCATCCTACCAAAACCTAACATGCAACAAAATTTCAAAACAAAATATATCAAACATAAGAAAGAGAAAATGAATGAAACCTCCCTCAAACGAAGAATCGGCATCATTGATCAAATGGCCAAACCTCAATGCTAATGACATCCTTTAACTGTTCATGCACCGTCCGTGTGACCTCTATTACCATTCCTAATTTTTGCTCTACTGCCTCCAACTTCGCCACTAATGCCTGTAACTTCTGCTCCAACCAACGAACAGTTTCCCTCAAGGCTCGAATTTCAGAATTCGGCGAGCCGCCTCGAACTGGTTCTCTAGCAAGCGCATGTCCCAAAAGTCTCTTCAAGTTTCTTTAATCTATCATCGGAAAATTTCTCTCAATTTGGCTTTGCGGAATCCTGACACCTTGATGAAGGCATAGTGAGGTGATTAAACCAGGGAAAAGGAGTTTACCATTTTTGCGAGATGCATATTCATGAATTACTCCCCGTATTAGTCGCCCAAAGTTTATCTGGAATGCCTTCATCATAGCATATACTAATAAAACTCGATCCTGAATAATGTGTTGATCATGCTTAGTTGGCATGATCCTGTTCTTCACAACATATAACCAAATGGAAGCAGCTGCAGAAATATCCTCAGGCGCTAGCTGATGGGACCCATTGTTGAAATATCCCATGTGGAAAATAGCATCCCTACTATATCCACTACCTCACTAAGATGCTCTTCAGATGGATCTAATAAAATCTGATTTCCAAGAGCGTTCTGGTAGTCAGGAAGCTGATAAAAGTGGTTAATCTGATTGACGGTGAACAGCTAAATAAAATTCCTTCACCACATCAACTGCTTACACAGCTCACTAGTTCTAGCAGGCGTAACCATTCCTTTTCTTAAGCCACCTCTCACCACATGTCTGGGATAACTAGAAGATCTAAATCTAGGCCTAGCTCAACCAATAATTTATGCGATCTGTTCCACCCACGATGCTTCCTAAGATAGGTTGCTTCCACTTAGTCTTGACCTCCTCACTATCATCGATATGGATACTGACTATCTTAGGAGTCGGTATTGGTAAAGAAGACGTCTTCTAGTCGTAGCAGCACAAGCCTTAGTCGCTCGAGTCTTAGGTTTATATAAAGTTGGCCTGTGCATCTTCTGTTTTTGCACTCTCTTACTCGGCGTTACTTTTCCCCTCCTTCTAGGGCCGAAAAGTTCCTTAGTGAGGATCCTATCTTTTGTATCGGTATTAATTGACAGCACAAACCATGGATCCGATGGTGAAGAATAAGCTACTGAATTATTTTCGGTTTGAGGTTCTGTCCTAGAAGTTCCCACTCCTATCACTACATTATGCCCTTTACATGGACTTCTTTCTCTCTCAGAACGAGGGGATCCTTTTGATTGCTCTCTTTGAACATAATTTACTGAAGGGGCATTCAAATCATTCGAAGTTGGCAAGGAAGGATAAGACTCAATTTCCCACACGCCATTAATTTCCAAAGGTGGTGATATTTCTTTGTCCAAAACATCTCAAACTCTAATTCCAGGTATGGTGGCCTGCGGTATTACATAATCTCCCTCTCTTTGTGTAGGTTTAGTTACCTCTTCCTATGAACTTTTACATAGTGTTTCTGTGGAAATATCAAGAGGTAATTGTCGTTCAACTTCTATCTTCTCTTCTTGGAGACTTATTGTTATGGATCTTACTGGCGATTGTATAGGAGGTTGCATATAACAAGCTCTCCAAGCTATTTGACTGGCAATCCTCCTAGCATCTTCGAACATTGCTTCCCATTAATCAGATGTGTACCTCCGAAATTCGTCCTCTCTACTCTTATTCGCTGTCTCGCTAGATAAGTCTACAGATCCGGTCTGTTTTCTCGAGTTTACCCTCATTGTCATAGAAGGAGGCGTCAGGCACCTTGTCTCAATCTCCATGTTCAAACTATCGTTAATTTCCATGTTTCGCACCCCTGAACTTCCCCGTTTGTGTTCCTCCTGTCGACTCTCTTATTGGTTCCTCAATTCATCAAAATTTACATTGTCTTCTTTGCTTGGCATCTCCTTTCCTTTATTTTCAGCATTCACATGATCTTTCTTTTGGACTAAAGGTTCTAAAGGAAAATGTGGATTACTAGGAGCACTATAAGGGGGAGACATAGGGATGAACTTTTTGATGGGTAAAGGTGGTCGAGTGTTAGCTGTAGTGGCAGGCATGAAAGGAGGCTCAAGAGGCCTCGATGACATTCGACGTTGTGAAAACATAGGACCCGGTTGATACCCACTCATGGACATCCCTCCTAAAAACATAAACTGAGATGAAGGGGGAGGGGTACTAACTATAGGTGGGGGAACTTGGGCATAATTAAACAAATTTTGGCCTAATCCGAGTGGATTTTGCGGTTGGACAACATGGTTTGAGAGGGGAAAAAATTGATTTTGATGATAAATAGGCTGAAGACCTATCGTGAAAGTTGGGTAATTGGAAGAATGTAAACTGTAAGTGGGCAGAGTGGGAGGAAACAAAGGATACATACCAGAAAAATTATTCCCGAATTGTTGCTGAAATAGGGTCAAAACGCTGCTAAAACGCTCCCAAAGTTGGTGGGTATTGAGCCCAAACCAATGACCTATCATATTGGTTGTGCATCGAGGCTTGTGGCGCTGTCGGGTTAGCAATAAATGGCCGAAAACTTCCAGTTGTTGCTGTTGGTAGAAAAATCTGTGTATTGGGAGTTTGGAAGTTCATATTTTGGGATGTTGGGAGGTGAGAACTTGTGGATATCATGGTAGATGAAGAGGGGAAAGTAGTGATCTGAGAAGAAGAAGTCATGGAAGCACAACTAGAAGGATGAAGTATATCCTCACGGAATGCTTTACTGAATATCAAAAGAGAAGCCCGTCCATTACAAAGCTAACCCACCAATTTGAATGGGTGGGGAATCTCTCCCATCCTTACAACTATGCACTTAGGCAATGAATTTTAGATATCCCTCTTCATCTTCCATCATCATTTTGATACGATCCAAGATGTCAAAAAATCACTAAGATTGTGATTGACGTTTTCTTCCTTAGAGAGTTCCTACTCAAAACAATATTTACTCGTACAAAAATACTACCCAAACATGGGTCTTTGATTTCAATCTCAACTAGAGGAAGCCACAAGAATTATTCTTAACTTCCATACGAATCGAGCCACAATCCAACATATTCAAAGTCTAAGAAGAGCGATCAACCAATCTACTAAAGTGACCTTCGAGAGCTTCAGAACAACTTCGAGTTCAATATCTTAATGGCAGATTCATAATGTCGATCCATCTATTACACCCCATCACGAACTCTGATCTGTTATTCTTTACAACCAGAGTATTTCTTAAATTTAACTTGAAAGAGACCAATTTTCTTCCGTTGTCCATTTACACCTTGCCATTTAAGAATCCTCTCATCCTCCATCTTTAGAAGAGCTTTATCAGCCATATAAAAGGATTAAGCAAACATTCTACCTCAAAATGTTTCTTCGAAGCAATGGCAATCACCTTCAAATTATCATGCTCTTCAAGTCTAGAAATAGCCACCAAAGAGTTCCAATTCATTTCAACCACGTCTCTTTCTTTTTTAACCCAATATTTATGTTGAACTTTTTGTGTAAACATATCTTTTTCCAGTTCAAAAGGTTTTCGACAGCTTTTCATGGCGTCATATTATCCAAAATATCAACATTAATAATAGTAGGATGAAGATCAAACTTGTTTCAAAAAAACTAACCAACCTCTTTTTTTTGTTTTTTTCCCAATAGATACCACACTTATTCCTCTCATTCTTGATTTGCAGATCAAAATACATCTAAGACAACAACCTTGTTTATTGTAACGTTTCATAATTCTACAAATGCCAAAATCTCCATTTACATGTTTAAAAAAATGAAAAGTCAATGGATGTTGCATGAAATCGACAATTGCCTCTTCAAACCATATTAACTGATTCTTGTGAAGCAATATGAAACTGGCGATTATCAAACTTCCCTTCCAACTTGAGAAAACCATTCAAGTTAAGCTTAGATAACGAGGTCAACGAAGAGACCAAAATTTTGACAAGGTCGCAAAACGCATGCAAGTTCATTTCTTTGTCATGGAAAATCCATTGATTCCTTTCCTGCCATATCTATCAAAGGATACCCGCCACCGCATTTTGGCCATAAGATGAAAGCTTAACCGTTGAAACTAAGCCCCCTAAATGTGTTGTCTTAATGCTTCACCTGCACTCTTAGGAAAGACCCAACTAAGATTGAAGATGTTCATAAGCATTTGATCTTCCAACACTACACGGACATGAAAAGAAGAGATGCATTTGATCTTCCACATTCCATTTGCACATGCGGCAACAATTCGGAGATACGTACCAATTTGAATCAAACTTGCTGAGCAAACCCTAACAACATGGAATTTTAAGAGAGTGGAGAGAGGAGAGAGAAGAGAGCATTCCCCATAAAACCTGAGTATTTCCAAATTCGAAAGAAAGATTCCAGAAAGCTCTCTAGTCTCTGCATTATTGAACCAACTGTAAAGAAAGACTGAGATTCCAGTTCAAAACCAGTGCATCCAAGCAGAATGAAGGACTGAAAGATATGTTTGAGTAAATTAACTGCAATTAGGTAAATGGTAAACTACCTCAACGAACTAACTACACTTGGTCTTTAAATTGGTACATCAAATAAGAAGATTAATAAAATGAAACTGAAACTCCCATCATTACCTGCAAGTGACACTACATAAAATATATCTGAAGAAAACACTAAATATCACTTGATCACCATTCTACAAAAACTACCTAAAAACTGATATAAACTTGCACACGATAGAGCAAGAAGAGAAATCATAGCCCCAACAACATAACCAAGTGCAGACCTTGTTATTTATATCATAGCTTTAATATAAAACTGAAACGATCTACAGATAAACCTCTCTCATACTACCGCAATCAATTCCAAAAAAGATCAATGACAAATGGGAAAAAGTTATCATTTATAATCTGTTATGTTTTCTCTTAATTTCTCTCTGTTACTTTTGATTGTTTTGTTATCCAGTTAGAGTATTCAGTTATTGATTGTCTAAACTAAAACTTGAGCAAGAGCAACCAGCAGACATTTACAATATAATATTTATATTAGAAAAAAACTATTCTCAAACTCAAAAATCTAGCCACTGTAAATAAAAATTAAAAATCTAACCACTTAGTGTAGTACACACAAGTCCTAGGCGAAATGATGCCATTCGGAATGCAATGAGTAATTTGTGGACAGACTCCAAGGAATGGAAGTCATTGCCCCTGTTTTGGGCTCCTCTTTGACACCTCCTTTAGCATGGCACTTGTAACAAATCTTCCCAATGGGAAAAATATCAAATTCACCAGATCCAGTGCTCTTCACCTCCATGACTTGATGGTCCAACACCAAAGCATTTACAATCTCCTCAATTTGCTCCCAAGACAAGTCCACTTTGGATGCTCCACTCCTTTTGAAAGAATCCACGATTCCTTCAATAGTAATCACATTCCTCTTTTGTATCAATCTTGCACAAACCCCTTTAAGAGTATCGATATATTCTCTGTCGAGAGTCCTGTCACGATACCAATTACCACCAGTTAATTCTTTTGCTGGTTCAAAATCTTTTGACAGAGAGAATTTCTTCCCCTTATTCTGATAGTGTTGAACTAGTTTAATCAGGCCTTTGGCTTGAAGAGACTTGAGTGATTTAGTTACCACACTTTCAGAAAACTTTGTTTCTCTTTTCATGTCGAAAGTGCAGATTCCCATGCTCTGCTTGCTATGAATCAGATCATGGAGCACTTTCTCCTGCTCAACGAGAGCTACTCCAAAGCCCTTACTCAACAACTCTGGCCTCTTTCTTTTGAGTGATGAAGGCCCTTCTGATTTACTCATTCCAATATCACTACAACTTTCAATAAAATTGATGCTTTAAACACAAACAAACAAACAATGTTTATTTCCCCAATCCAGCATATATAATACACTCACTAAAGTCTTATTAAAATTGACAGTTAAGAAGTAGGAAAGCGGAGAACATAAAGGATAGAGAGACAGGACACATAATTCTAGTAAGAAACACTTACTCTTTAGGATCCCTAGATTAAATATATATATAGATTTCAAAAATTAAAATCCATAGAATAATTCAATCTTTACCACTTCAGGGGCGTGAAAAGGTCCAACTTGGGTTCTCGCTGGTGAGTCGCCGTCAATGCCGCAGGACAACAGCTGAAGAAATAGGTAAGGAAGGAAAGAAAAATTAGGTGTTCAGCCTCTATTTAATGTATGGAATTTTAACTTAAAACTTTCAATTTCATCGATTTCACTTTAATTAGCGGTCTTCATCGGGGAGTGGGTGAGTCGCAGGAGAACGCCGTGTCTCTCGCCGGATCTGTTGCAGACGTCGTCGGAGGGAAAGCTCGGCTTTCGATCGAAGGGAGTTGTGGATCGTCTCGATTGGGTTTCTGCAGTTCGTCGCCGCCGAGGGGTCGTTGTTCGTGGAGCTACTACGCCGCCGCCGCCGTAGCCGGAGTTGGGTTTCTGCAGTTCGCCGCCGGCGGAGAGGATGCTGCTCGAAGAGGCTAACTTAAAACCTGATATCAAATCTACTGTGATTTAAAATTCTATCCTGGAAATGATTTCAAAATCATTTATGATCTGCTTGCAAATTCTAGTTCCAAACAGAAGTTAACTTTATTTATCTTTCCTTTTTTTTTTTGGTTCTCTAATTTTTCTTTCTAAAATCTCTTTTTATTTTTATTTTTCTCTCTAAATTTTTTTGGTCTCTCACTATAGAATTTGTTATCTAAGATTTTTGTTCCGGTTTTCGCAATACTTACCTACATCTGTGGGTAACGAGACATGTCCGATTTTTGAAAAACATGTTATTTCTAATGAGTTAATGTCTGGGATGGACTCAAATTTTACACTTTTATATTCCTGCATTTATGATTTTTGAATAACATCAATTTTACTCTTATTTATTCTATTTATGTTTATTATTGTTATTTTTTTATAATGTAAAAGATTTAAATCTCTAATTTGATTTTATAAACCTTTAATTATTGTGGGCCACAGACAAATTAGGTTCATAATCCCTTAATTTACTCATTCATATATTAAATACAAAAAGATTATCATGATTTCAAATTCGAAATTAATTAATGTATAGATTTACCCATGATTTCAAATTGAAAATATACATACGATTTATGTCATATAAACTTATATAGTGTTATATCAAACCACAATTAACAAACAAAGCTCAAAAAACCTACTCTATCAATTTAGACACCCTAGCACATGCTTATAAGATACACCTATATGATAAATATAAAATATATTCGACTGTTGAGTTCTTATAATTACCCACTTGGTACTTTATTTGTGTAGATATAAACTATATCCGCATATAAAAAATTGAGTATCGAATTCACACCTAAATTTTGCACCACTCAAATTATATTATCGATTCTTTGACAATATGGACTCTGAAAAAACTGAACTACTCGATGATGATAACTAATTAAACCAGATGGTACAAAAAATTGTTCATGTAAAGGTAACTATATAAACTATATCAGCATATAAAAAAAAACTAGTTAAACATTTAAAAACTAGTTCACCTAAACAAATGAGGTTTCGAAAGAGAGCATTGTTCAAAACTGAAATCGAAAACTTTACAGGAATGAGGTTAAACATTACAAAACTAGTTCATCTAAATGAATGGATACCATCTTAAAGATATATAGGTATGGAAAATATATCATGGTGAGAAGAAGACAAAACGAACCTTGACTTTAGAATGGTGAGAAGCTTGATGGGCGGCTGGCAACGAGAACAGAGTAAACGGTCTTCTACAATCTGCTACATGATAAACGAAGTAAACGACCGACGACAAGAATGAAGAACCTTGACGCGATGGCTTGCTACACCCTGATACCAGCGAGTGAACATAGTAAATCGTCAGAAAAAATGGAGTTCAAGGAAGAAGAAGAAACCGACGGAAGTAGAAACGGGCAGATGAAGGGGATGAAAAGGATTTTGGAGATTTGGTTAGGTTTATTTAGATATTTAGTTTTGGAAAGTGTAAATAGCCATAAATTAAGGGATTTGAAATCTAACCTCCAAAATCAACCATTTTTAATTTCAATAATTTATTAATATTTAGGTATAAATAAAAAATAATATATCTGTAAATTGTTCCTGGGTACCATCTTAAAGGGCGTTATTTTATGACAAAAGTGTAAATTTTATAGATGGAATCTTTTAATGTAATTATAATCTCTAAACAGTCTATCAACGTACTAATCCCTATTCTAATCTTAGTGACATCATCCTATTGCAACAAATTACTTCTCTTACCCCTCGCTCATTTCTTTTAATTATACTGATAGGGGTAGCACTAGCGACAACAATAGAGAATAACTATAGCAATAATGTGTATTGGCAACATACTTTTAATTTGGTCTCAACAATTTGAAATCGTTAGCGGTAGTGATAGTGATGATCACTACAACAAATTTGACCTTTAATGACCGTCATCTATGCGAGTGTCGTTGTTTTTCAATGACAAACAATACCCGTCATAAAAAGTTTTTCTTTCATGAAAGGGTAACCATGACGTTTACAAGTGTCATTGTTTCTTTTAATTCTTCATGGCGGTAGTCGCCTGTCATTTAATTTACATTATTGTTTGTTCATCATTGTATGTACGTCAGCATTTGTACGTCATAGAATCACTATATTTTATTATGTACATTGACCGTCATTATTTTGTGAATAATTTAATTAAAAAAAATAGTTGGTTGTCAATCATATTTCCTTCGAACCTATTCACATAACAATATCTCAATATTGCAATCAAAATTAGCTAATTAAGTTCTAGGGATAATTTCATAAATAATGTAATTTAAAAAATAAATTACATATTTAAATATGCCTATTTAAGATGGTGTCCATGTTAGAATTATCAAATTGTCCCATTAATAAAAAAATAAAAATAAACGAAAAAAATGGAAAAATAAAAGAATATTAAGAACATCACTCAATTCTAAAAATCTCTACCCTTCACCTCCCATATATGATGAAACATAAAACCTTTATCATACATTCTTCTTCTCCCTTACATAGCTCTAGCTGCCAACCATGTTGAAGCTCAAGATGTATTGTTTGTCATCTAGAATCTCAAGGCGCTCTGTGTTGGAGGTCGCTGGAAGGCCAGAAATGACGTGGTCCTCCCATACCGTTCTAACGTCGTCATCGTCGACGACCACACGACATATCTTGACGAAGTGCTTGTAGTTTGCAGGTTGTCGAACCAGCGAATGATCAACCATATGGTGGAATCTAGGGTGGCGATTTCGCAAACCACAACGGAGCAAGTTTTTGGTTGGGCCCAATATGTGCGTGTGGTAAAATGCCATGGATTCTTGGTCGGGCCCACTATGCTACTTGAGAAAAGGGAAAGAAACTTTTTTTTTCCATAAAAAATAAATATACGCTGAGTACATTTTTAGATATATGGAACACATGTTCAGTATTAGTTTTTTTAATTAAATCAAGTTTTTGTATTTAATTTATTTGTTTAGCACCATAAACGGTGCACAAACCCACAATCTTATGGAGTATATGTTAAGGTATGAAGTAAGTATGAAGTAAATTTGAGGTATATATTGTATAACCTAATATTTGAGTATATACCACTAAAAAGTAAATATTATATAACCTTTTAGAATCATATATGTTTATTATATGATACAATGGTTGTTAGAATATATTGAAATTTTCAAAAAATGGCAACTCAAAAAAATTATACAGAAGGAATGAAACCAACTTTAAATTAATATAGAAAGAAAATTTTTTACGTGAAATAAAGAAAAAATAATAGAAAGAGCAATGAGAAAAACATACAGTTGAGA